AAGTCTTTCCAGTGAAAAATGATTCCAGCTAAAATAAAGTATGTTACCCAGTATGCAAGAACTTGAGACCATGGATGCACTTAATGGTACAAATACAGTACATGTCTCTTTGACAGTTGCTCCACTAATAAAGTAAATATGGTACTACCGTATTTATCCAGGTAAGAGCCCAGGGTCCTGAACATGGAAAATCAACAAAAAGAAGGGGTGGGCGTTTGTCCGGATATCCCCGGCAAAAAAACTAAAGATCGCGATCGAACTGCGACAGAGAGTAAAACAGCAAATAAAAACATGCAACAAAAATAAATAAACAATATGCAGCATTAGAAGTGTAACAAAAATTAATTTATTGCTTAGAATGTGACAAATAAACCAGAAATAATAAAAATTGACAGTGAAGATTCATTAGAATTAGAACATCCCTGTCGACAAACACGCAGCCCCATACGCGTGAATTATTTCCGGTTTTGACAAATATGGCCGACTGGTGGTCCATTTTTAATGCCAAAATTCAGCCAAATTAGGTCCTTTCGTGTCCATTGTTATTTCTCCGGCAGCCATTTTGATTGTTAATCATGGTTTTTGTCTGTTGTACATATTCACATGGATTTATTTCCTGATTTGATCAAATATGGCTGCCTGGTGGCAAACACCTGTGAAATCCATTTTTTTTGGTGTGTCCATCATCATTTCACGCAGATGCCTGGACCGATTTTGCTGAGACTAGGTACAAAGACAGAGTGACCACTGGTACAGATGCACATTGATTAATTTTTTCAAAGAATCAATTAATGAGCTCATTTGCATATTTTATTATGAATTTGAATTCTTGTTAATATCTTGTGAACTAATAGTCCAAATGAGATAAAACTTGATTTGTCAATATAAGATACATGTATATGCTATGCAATATTGAATTTCAGCTTAATTAACAAGCTCATTTGCATATTTAATTAATTAATTTTTCTTAATATCTTGTGAACTAATTGTCCGATAATTGCAAGTTTCTATAAAAAGACAAAGTCAGCCAGTTTAAAAGTTAAGTTATGCTCAGCCTGTACTGTAAGAATATCTCTATGTTTATTGATTATTATTGATTACATATAATCATTAACCAGAGTATGTAGCAACGTTATCAGTTTAACATTAGTTACAAATCACTTTACAAAATACAGCATACACTTGCAGCCACATATCTCAATCTGAACAGTGTATGTGCCAGCACCGTGTTGTCCACATCTTATGCTGATCTGCCATCTTAACATGTTACCACAATTCTGTAAGTTAATTCATCTTGTTTTTGTAGTACTTGTACAATTATAAACTTCTCTTGCACAATGTAAAACTTGTTTTGATATTTTAAAATCATTTTGTTTAAACACTTATGTTTTTGTTCTAAATTTGTTTCTAATGTACATACGAGTTAGCATTTTAAAACTGAAAATGGTTTCTATTCTAGCATTTCTACCAATCGGAAACTCAATCTAATCAAACTTTACACACATGTATCTCTATATA